GTATCTACCCTAAAACCTTTCTTATGGGCTTCGGTGATGTTTAGCCCAAAGCTTTCTCTCTTCTTCTTGTAACAAACGACAGGCCCAAGACTTGGCCAAGATGATTTAGCTTTGGTTTGGTCAATCTTCACAGTCTCCACCTTTGACCAAAACTAAGAGTAAATCTTTTCTCCCACGACAAAACTTTGCTCGTCTCTCTCTTTCTCAGATTCATCTTGCTCTTCTTCTTCTCTGGCGTTCTTCTATGTCACGTCTCCGATCACCACCGTGACTCCTTCTCCGGTAATTTCTTTCGCGACTAGAAACCCACCGAAACCTTCTCCTCTTGATTCCAACGCCATGAGATCTATGTGACCTTTTCTCCCTTTGCTTCGTTCTCGTAACAGACCCACGACATGTGCAATTACAGCCAGCCTTGCACCCTCCGGCGATTCCTCTGCCGCCGTTGTGGTAGGAAGCAAAAGCCCTAAAAGTTCTTCACCTTTTAATGCCCGACGACCCATCATCAGCATCGTCGATATAGCATCTTCCTTAGATGCGATTTTCCGGCGACTTCTCAACCTTTCCGGTGAGTGTCACTGTCGCCGTCGACCTCTCTTCTACCGTAGAAGCTTGTGGCTCCCTTAGTCATGGCTCGTAACCTTCATAACCAGAGCCATCTCTTCGTAGCGAATCCAGATGCCATTACTTGATCAAGGTATGCATCTCTTATGATTCTTCTACTTCCGTTTCTTTTTCGCATCTTGTGTCTTTTTCATTTAACAACCATGTTCTTCTTGCAAAATCATAACTTTGATTTTATAATCCTATCGCAGAAGCTCCACCTGAAGTTAATGACTCTTCACCATAGCTTCAAAATCTTTTAGGTAATGTAACTACGTTAATCACCTCTTCTTAACTGATTCTTTTTAGCCGTTTCTGACCCATATGAGTTTCTGTTCTTTGCCATGAACTCTAACTCTATCTCTTGCCAGCTTGATTCGCAACATCCAGAAACATGAACCAATCACCTTGGTTTCAACTTCTGATTCCTCCACATGTAACACTTATAACCAGAAGAATCGTTTCTTGAACTTCTCTACTTATCTTCTAGATTCAATATCCTGAAGCACTAACCTGTCTTCTCTTTAACCTTTTCCTCAGCTGCTCATAGCAGCAAAAGAATAACCCATAGAATCATCCTCTTTTCTTACTCCGTCTTCTACAAACACATAGTCATCCTCTAAAGATTTTATCATAGATTCTTCATTGCTCTCCTTAGACTCAATTTCTTCTGAAGAAGAAGAGTCTCCACCTTGAGATGATGAACTTTGTGTGTCAAAACAATCTGGAGTTGGCCCTTGAATTAGATTTTCAGAAAGCGTCACCTTCTTTGACTTCCTCTTCCTGATTACTTTCTCAACACTGGAACCATTTACTTCAGCCTTAGCAACCTTC